AACTTGTCTAATAGCCCGACATGCAGTTGTGCGATGAACATTAATCATATCTCCCACAGTATTAAAGTCAAATCTGAGCGCAATCAGCACCTGCAAGATTGGGGAGAGCGCAGCGTTTCTGTCTGATCCGTTCTGTTGTTGAGGGGAGATCTCCTCGATTAAATCAAAAAGGGCTCGTCTGCCCAAACGAAACCTCTCTATCAGCTCACTGAATAGATGTCCAGTGGGTTTGTTCCATCACAAATGACTCTTTCTCTTCTTAATGCCCTTTCGTTGTTACAACATGTAAACAAGACGCACTGCCATATTTTCCTTCTTGCCTGTTTTGCGTTACTATGGATACTAGTCTGTCTTTCCGATTTACGCCTGCTCCATACTAGGCGTAAAAGTTACACCCGGGCCGGGCGCAACGCATACAGGGCTTAAGTCTAAGTGGTGCACTAGTCATAACTTTATTTCGGTCTTAACCTTCGGTTCTACGTCGGACGTAGAGTTACGCCCAGCTTACGCCCGGCTGGTGCACTCCACTCCAGGAGTCATCCAGCTGAGAAGAGTAGTTTCATCTAACAGGGCGAAGCTGAATAAATGTCTCCTTTCTCTGCTTGTGTTGTGAAGTCTTTGCATTATTTTGGTGGGAGCATTTTCACAAAGATATCTCATGACACCTGGCTCTTAAATCTTCATTTGTGTCACAAAGACAGATGACTTTATGGACTGAAAACAACATGTTTGAAAGTGGTTGAAAGTGCGCACTGTTAGAGGTGAGAGGACGTTATTGTGTGGTGAAACCTTCACTCCTGGTGCAGTGTGTGTCCTCCTGCCTGTCTGTGCACTCAGTGTGTGTCCTCCTGCCTGTCTGTGCACTCAGTGTGTGTCCTCCTGCCTGTCTGTGCACTCAGTGTGTGTCCTCCTGCCTGTCTGTGCACTCAGTGTGTGTCCTCCTGCCTGTCTGTGCACTCAGTGTGTGTCCTCCTGCCTGTTTGTGCACTCAGTGTGTGTCCTCCTGCCTGTCTGTGCACTCAGTGTGTGTCCTCCTGCCTGTCTGTGCACTCAGTGTGTGTCCTCCTGCCTGTCTGTGCACTCAGTGTTTACAGTCAGACGGCGTTTCTTTATTTATGGGAAGGCTTTGACGCTTTTTTTATCCTGCCGAGTTCATCCTGATGATGTCCGGACAGGAAGTAGCGGCACATCTGTGTCAGTGTGTCTGAGGCTGAATATGAACCAAGTGCATTTCCTTTAAACCGGAGAATGGTTGCAGGGTTTTTATCGATGTATATGACGAGGGGAGAGGGGGTTTAGTTATCTGAAAACACAGAGGATATCTACATTTTTGCATCATTTAAAATACTATATTTCTTGTTTTTCTTTATTTTATAAATTCAGTACAAAGTATTTTTTATTCAGCAGAATGAGGAATAAGATCATGTTGGTAACCTATGTGCATTTTTCAGACTTAATGACATCTTTCATTAAGAGTGAAATAATCAATAGGACACACACACACACACACACACTCACTGATCAGAGGGAATAGACGGTGGCACTGATTGGCTTTCATGCTGTTGCTATGGGAGTTTAAGCTGCATTCCTATTGGACGGGCTTCGGACCAGGGCCAACTGTCAGCATCCCTCCGTTGTCGCGGCTACAGACAGGAAGCGAGGTGGTGGTGCGGGGGGTGGAGGACCACAATGTCGTTCTTGTTGCTGCCGATTCGAAACAGCAGAAGAAGAAACTCCTCTGTTGTTTATTGCAAAACATTTTTTCAAGAGGCTGATCCTTCTGCAAACAGAACAAATGCATGTTTTTGATCTGCGGTACGAAACAGATTAATGCTTACGCACACACACACACACACACACACACACACACACACACACACACACACACACACAGGGTCGCTCAGCAGAGACCTGCTAATCCTCCGCAGAAAGATGATTATTAATATGTCATGTCTGGATGAAATGGTGTGTGTGTGTGTGTGTGTGTGTGTGTGTGTGTGTGTGTGTGTGTGTGTGTGTGTGTGTGTGTGTGTGTGTGTGTGTGTGTGTGTGTGTGTGTGTGTGTGTGTGTGTGTGTGTGTGTGTGTGTGTGTGTGTGTGTGTGTGTGTGTGTGTGTGTGTGTGTGTGTGTGTGTGTGTGTGTGTGTGTGTGTGTGTGTGTGTGTGTGTGTGTGTGTGTGTGTGTGTGTGTGTGTGAAACCATTGCTCTATTCATTATCCCCTTGCTACTGAGTGTGTCTATTATGGCTCTATTCAAATGCAAATGCTTCTGCCTCACACACACACACACACACACACACACAAACACACACACACACACACACACACACACACACACACACACACACACACACACAAACACACATGTAGTTGATGTTTAATTGACTGAGCGTGCACTAGTTTTCTCTCGTGCACTTTGTCCTCCCTGCTGCAAGAATCACAAATGCCATCAATATGCATGTGGGTGTTATTGTAGAACAGTATTAGGCAAAGTATAACATATGTTTCCACATGTTTTTAACACCCCAATAAGTGGGTATATGCATGCATAGTGGAGAGCCAATTCACCAGGGATATTAGAAACGTCTCGATCATTCTTCGACTGTAACGATGGAGATCAGACGGTTGTTTAAAGGGGCCGTGTTGTGACATGTTTCCGTGCTTTAAAGTTCAAAAAGCTCTTTATTCGTCTGCCTTTTTCATGCATTGTCGAACTTCCCTGGCCAGCTTAAACCTCAGTACGTAACACAAATGATTTCTCATCCACCCCTTCATGGTATTACCTAGAGACCGGGGGAGGGAAGTGAGGATGTAATAGGTAAAGGAAACCAAAGAGGAGAGAGGAACGTTGATGCTGGAGCTCATGCAGATGGGAGCAAAGTTCCCCAGACTGGTTGCATAAGCATCTGTGACCCAGAAACCCTCGGCAGCCGGACTGAACTCACCCCGAGATGGAGAGAACAGAAATAGCCAAAGGGGGGAGGAGGCAGGAGGGAGGAGGCGTGGGAAGGAGGTGACTGAGTTTGTTTAATTTAACTTTATCTGCACTTCTCTAGCAGTTGTACCGTATTTACATAAAAACATCCTGAGGCTGTGTTTCAGCATCTCAGTCGTTTCTCTGAGGTTAAGAAAAGTCCAGATGTACATTTTGCAGCATTTCTAAAGGTTATATTGACTCTGAAAACTCAAAAAATGCATTAATATTTGTGTTTAATTTGAAGTGCTGAGTCTTGTTATATATGTGGATGTGATTCTGCACAGTAATAGCACTATTACATTCTGGTGCACCACAAACATGCAGGCCTGTAAATAAGATCCTTTATTTGAGATGAAACCGTCCTGGGAGAGGACTCTGAACGAATGATGAGATCCATTAGAGAAATGTTTGCTCCGTTGGCCTCAAGTGGACTTTTCCTATTCCCCTCAAACGCCTCCTGATCAAAAGAGAGACGGCTCTCGTCCAATCTCCCGCTGTCCGCTGAGCTATTATTATCGTGTGCGTGTGTGTGTGTGTGTGTGTGTGTGTGTGTGTGTGTGTGTGTTCCTGTGGATAATGCTGCTTGTTTTTGTAATGGTTTAGCGGCTTGTGACATCATTTTTGAGAGAGTTTTCAGATTTAATATTGGTTTCTAATTGTCTATGCAAGTGTTTCTTGATCAGCTGGACAGTGTGCAAGAGACAGCGCAGGTAAAAGGCAAAATAAATTAGGCAAACGTATTGAAGACACGTTTAAATCAAATACACACATAACCATGGTAATGTCACACAGGTTTTAATCAATATGTTTTGTTTAAACCTCTGGTTGAGTCTTGGCGTTTTTGTCTGCGATGCTGTCGACTGGCAGCTTTAGACTATTCTCAGGGATTGTCGATGTAATAGTAGCTTTTTTCCCCTTTCTCTTGTACGCCATGTAAAGGTTTCGAGGTACCTGCTTACTGTATATTGTGTATGTCTTTTCTCTATTGTAATTCAAAATAAAGTATAAAAAAAAAAAGAACTGGTTGAGTCCATAAATAATCATTAAAGGTGGGGTAGGTAAGTTTGAGAAACCGGCTCGAGATACACTTGATGGATGGATGGATATCCTCGTGGATTCATCTTCCTATTATACACACATGCATTTCCAAACATTTGGACTACCTATGTTGCAAATGTATTATCTCTTCAATTTACACACGGCATCTATTGCACGTCTGTCCGTCCTGGGAGAGGGATCCCTCCTCTGTTGCTCTCCCTGAGGTTTCTCCCATGTTCCCTTTAAACTGTGGGTTTTCTCTGGAAGTTTTTCCTTGTACGATGTGAGGGTCTAAGGACAGAGGGTCTGAGGACAGAGGGTCTAAGGACAGAGGGTCTAAGGACAGAGGGTCTAAGGACAGAGGGTCTGAGGACAGAGGGTCTAAGGTCAGAGGGTCTAAGGACAGAGGGTCTAAGGTCAGAGGGTCTAAGGTCAGAGGGTCTGAGGACAGAGGGTCTGAGGACAGAGGGTCTAAGGACAGAGGGTCTGAGGACAGAGGGTCTAAGGACAGAGGGTGTCGTATTGTCATACTGATATTCTGTACAAACTGTGAAGTCCACTGAGACAAATGTAACATTTGTGATATTGGACTATAAATAAACATTGATTGATTGACTTGTTATATTCCATGGAATGCTCTTAACATCCCGATAGCAATGAATATCTGAAGTGCTTTGACAAAAAACCCATTAAACATTTGTTCATGTAGTTCTGTGAAAAGCTCGACCAATCATCTGAGCCGGCTAAAGTAACTGGATGGCCTACCTGCCTGTCAGCCTTCCATCTGGGCACAGACTTATCTCGTGCCCTCATTGGTCATGTGCGCGTTCCTGTGTGTTGGAGGAGGGGCTCTGTGAGGAAGTGGCAGATATTGTCCGGTTGTGTATTTTCAAATTCTAGCGCACTCGAGCTGGTTTCTCCACAATGACCTACCCCACCTTTACGAACCAATTAAAAACATCTGTCTTTCTTCTTCTGTCCTCAGGTGAAAGCACTCGGCTGTGTGCTGCTCCCTAGCCTCCCCTGTCCCTCGCCTCCCACCTGATCTCCTCTCCTCCTCTTCCTCCTCCTCCTCCTCCTCCTCCTCCTCCTCTGGTTCATCATGACCTCCACCCTGGAGATGCTGCCCCCCGACCCGGAGCTCAGTCCGGAGCGACTGGACGGCTGTGAGGACTTTGGCGGACGCTACAATGTTGTTCCCTCTGTGATCTGCTCCATGTGCTGCCTCTTCGGCATCATCTACTGCTTCTTTGGTGAGTTCTGCTCCAATGAGATCAGGTGTCCCTGAAAGCATCACCATCTGAGTCCAAATCATTTACTCTCTGCCAAAGGAGTTAGTTGTTAGGTCGAACATGACTTTGCCATGACACTAAAGGCCAATGTTTAGAAAGACTCTGCTTTGGGCGTTTCTTGTGAATGTTGTGTCATATCGTTATTCAAAAAGCAACTCAACCAAACTCATTTTGAGTCCAGGAAATGCTCCTGCCCAACATTTCCTTTGACCCTGTTTCATTCGTAAGGTCAACATTCAAAGCATCATTTAAACATCTGGACATCATTAGGTATGAGAGTGATAACTGTGCACTATACACCTGGCTGCTATCTTCAGAGCTGCTAAAATACAGGACGTGTATTTTGTAAATTGTGTCATTTCTTAAATGTTTGCATGCTTCTTAGGCAACATGAAGCTGTCCTTGGCTCCTTTCTGCTGTCCTTGGCTCCTTTCTGCTGTAGCAATGATCTGTGGGACTGATGCAGGTGTTCTGATTGTGATGTTGGTATCCACTGTGCTGAATGAAATGCTCCTCTCTTTGGCTCCAGGGTACCGCTGCTTCAAGGCGGTGATGTTCCTGACCGGCCTGATGTTCGGCTCCGTGGTGATCTTCATGCTCTGCTACAAGGAGCGCGTCCTGGACACGCAGCTGAGCATGGAGGTGTCGGTGGGCATCGGGCTGGGCATCGGCACGCTGTGCGGCCTGGTCACCATGCTGGTGCGCAGCGTGGGGCTCTTCATGGTGGGGCTTCTGCTGGGTCTCCTGGTGGCCGTGGCTACACTGGTGGGCATGGAGGAGCTCTCCGACAGCCCCCCTCGCTCCGTTTGGGTGCCTCTGGGCGTCCTGTTGGGGCTCGGGATGCTCTTCGCCGTGCTCGCGCTCCAATGGCAGCGCCTTTTCACCACGTTCTCCACTGCCATGTTCGGGGCGGCCGTCATCACGGTGGCGGTGGACTACTTCGTGGAGCTCTTCGCCCTCGTGCTGTACATGTACGAGCGCCTGAAGGCAGCACCGGGGAAGCCTGTGTGCTGGGTGACGTGGGTGGTGCTGGGGGTGTGGCCCGCCCTCACCCTGCTGGGGGTCATGGTGCAGTGGAAGGTCACCGCCGAGGGGTACTCCCACACCAAGGGTGAGGAGAACTGTTTATACCTTTAAACCAGGCTGCAGACTGTTGGAGATGAAGGGAGGGTATCAGCATGCAGGTTTCATTGGAGTAGACTTTTTTATTTGTATTTACTTGCACATCTCCAAACATTCTCTTGCACTATTGTATCTGTTTTATTTGTCCTTTATATATGTTGCACTGTTGGAGGAGCCTGTGACCTACGCCATATCTACACTGTAGCTAATGTGAGCCCATGATCCTCTCCCTCTGTGCTCGCAGTGATCATCAGCCGGCAGCAGAGGAGGATGCAGGTGATGAGGATCCGGCAGAGGGACGACCGCTATCGAAACAAGAAGAAGAAGAAGACGCAGTCCTCCAGCAGCAACCATCAGGCCAAGCAGCTCCACCCTGAGCCCGCATACCGCCGCAAACCCAACCCCATCCGTCGCTACGACACCGACGTCCTCTCCCCGGTAGGGTGGCTACTGATTTGAATGTATTTTAACTATTTATGCAGAAGACAAAAAGAAACCTGAGTTGTGCATCAAATGAATTAAATGTCTCACTTTTTCAGCAAAACACATCATTGACATGTATTTGTATATATTTGTATATATCTGTATATATCTGAGACCCATAATATATGTCTAACTATAGCATAATAGGAGGTCTTTCAGCCATATATTTTAAAGTACATGTTTGCATATTTCTCCGCCCTCTCAGAGCTACATCCAGAGTTTCCGGGAGCGGCAGGTGCAGGTGCAGCCGGTGGGTCGCCTGGCAGGGAGACCCCACACGGTGGTGGACATAGGGTACGACCACGGCTCCACCACGCCCCTCACAGGAGCTCCAGGACCCCCACTACGGATCTGAGAGACCCCCCTCTATCACCTCAAAGAGACCTGAACACACCCCTCCACCAGGGAGGTAAAAGACTCACGACCCCACCTGGGCGTCATCACGTCCGATCGGGGCAAACCACCACTGGGTTTAATGCAAACAGCTCAGCCACACCCCTATGAGGAGAGAAGATATACAGGGCTGGATTCACCCAAAATGCAACACATGTTTTACTCTTTAAATGTTGGATTAGAAAGCGCCACCTCCCAGTGTGCATGGTGCAGAGGTTGACATCTTTCACTGAGATTGAAATGCATGAAACACAAACACACCGCTACGATCTGAAGGGTGGAGGTGGAAGCATCAGCTGTACCGCCCCTCGCTTGTTTTTAAACACCGTCTTAACTTAAAGCAGATCAGGGATCAGTCTCACTGCTAACCTGCCTCAGGTCCAAATACATCTTAGGAGGAATCGAAATAAAACCTCGCCCTCTTTCACCGTGCTGATGTTGGTGCCGATTTTCAACCCATGGTGCAGGTCCTCCGCCTGAAGGCGTCTTAAAAGTCCAATGAAGATCAGCTATAATGTCTGCTTTCTTCGCCCTCTTCCTCCCACATGAAATCGTCCTTGAAACGGGGGGAGACACCTCCGTCACCCTTGGTGCTGGACGATCCACTTCTTCAAAACTGCCTTGCCCCTCTGCGGACTGTACCATTCAGCGACAGCAGGGGGGATCTCCCATCGATGGCTTGGTTTTGAAAGAAATGTGAACACAGAAGGATGTGTGTGGGGGGGGGGGGTTAGTGTCGGAGCTACAACAAGCAGGGTAAACATGTAGAGTTGTTGTCTTCACAGATGCCTGGATAAAGGATTTGCTTTTAGCTGACGAGCAAGACAAGCCACATTTATACTGGCACCTCATCTCACTGGTTATTTTACAACCTGCAAACAAGAGATTATTTACACTGCCATTATTAGATAACTTTAGCTCCAGTTGCACCTTGTTCCTGAGCCGTTTTAAGACATGCAAAGGAAGCCTGTGGAAAGATGTGTGTAAAGTGAAATCTCTGAATGACCAGGATACATATTGATATTAAGAAGAAACTCGGGCCGAGATGCCGGTGTGAAGAAAGGAGAATCAAGTGGCCATACCAGCTTTTACTGGGCCTCCTTCCATCATGGGGCTGACCCCCTTTATTTGGGACATTTCTGTCACCTGTGAAAATGTGAATCGTCTTGACCTCGTTAAAGGAAGAGCAAAGCAAATATGGGGTAGGGGGGGGGTGTATGGTACGTTTTTAATTCATCCGTGGGAAGTGCATGACTAACACCCCCCCCCCAACCTGCGTCCCCTCACCCTTTTTAATGTGCATCGATGTGACATTTGTGCATAAAACACAGCACTTACTAACTTTCATCTTTCAATTTCCTTTCTCAGAAATCTTATTAAGATGTTTTTCCCAGTGGGATGTATTTATTTGCTGATTTTATTTATTCTGTAAAGGAGAATGCAATGTCATCACTGTAGGCCGGTGACTCCATGCTTTCATTGATGAATATTAAAGCATGTGTTCCTTTGGATACAGATCAGTGTGTGTGTGTGTCGTCTTTTTACTGAAGGACATGAACGCATTTTAACTTCATTTATTTTTATTAGCAAATAGTGTTTGAAAGTCACAAGGGATTATCTCCTAAACAAATCTCTTCCTGTTTTCTCCTCCTCCTCACACAACCTCCTATCTCTTGCTTTCATCTCCTCCTCCTCCATCTCTTTATTGATAACAACAAACACACATACACTTTATCCTCCTTAACACTCGGATTTATGTGACTGACCTTGAGGATAAACGCTGCCGTGTGTGGAAGAAAAGTCAGAAATAAAATATAAATATGCATTTTCTGCACTTAATCAGATGCACAAGTAGAAGATGTGCGCGGTTAATCCATTTTCTGTGACATTGAATTTAAATTGCAGGAAGATTATTCGAGAACCGCAGTGACGCGTCCTAAAACCCGGAAGTAAACTCCTTCCGGTTCCTTCGTCAAACACGCAATGCAATTTCTCCATAGGATTTTGGAAAATAGCTGGAAATAAGGTCTGTGGTTGAGACACATTTAAGAGACGGATCACGTTTTGTTCAGGCGGATAATCTCCACATGTCTACCTTTTATAATGTTCGAAGCATAAATCTAGTCGCAAAATGCTAACGTTATGCTATAAAGGAACTACAGCAGGGTCGCTGCTTCAACGTCACGCTGACTTCAGATCCATATTCAAACATACAGACTCTAAATGGTTCAAGTTGAAGTGTTTGAACACTTTGCAGGAGGCAGGGACTTGCTTTCAAGCAGAACACGGCAAACAAACAGCGGGAGTGTTTTACGTGATCGGCGTAATGACGTAAAACGGCCTGGACAACTTCTGTAGTCCTATTCAGCCACTTGGTAACAACCATCGTTTTTCAGACACGTAAACTCTTCAGAAATCACCAGCGGGGTCACTGCTAATGATTTAATGTAGAACAAAACATGATCTGTCTCTTCAATGTGTCTCAACCACAGACCTTATTTCAGATAGTTTCCTAAATCCTATGGAGAGATCCCATTGCTTTTTATCGAAGGAACCGGACGTGGTAACAATGCTAACTTACTTCCGGGTTTTAGGACGCGTCACTGCGGTTCTCTGCAAAAATGCTGTATATTTAATGTTGATTCAAGTTTTATCTCGATTTGACTCTATTATTCACCTTATTCTTTCAGATACAACTCGTAAAAGGAAATAGGCTTTTAGGGTTTAATTTAAACACAGAAAAGACTATACACCACAGATGAAAATAACCTTGATAAAGTGAACGATTCTAGCACCTTACATATTGCATTAACCACAAGGTCATGAGTCTGTGAAGTCTTTTTACTTTTTATTTGTGCATCTTGTTTGACTTCTTCATCCGTCTGACTCGGTGGAGGACAGACGTGTTGTTGTTGTTTCTTCTTCTCTTGTTTCTGCAGATGGTTACATGACGTCCTGCTGGTGCTGCGTCGACTCGCTGACGACCTGGAGGACACAAACAAAACAGTCAGATATCAAAACTCCTAAAGGGAGATAGAGGTGCTGAATGAAAGCACAGTGGTTATCTGACATCATGGCTCCATGTCCTGTGAGTACAACATGCTGCATATCTGACATATATGCATTTCTCTATCTTAACTCATCTCAAATCTTGTCACCTTTTGTCTGTAATTTATTCATTTTGAGCTACAGACTTTCTCATGTGGGTTTGAGCAGCTTGGTTGTCCTCAGGAATAAGTGAAACAACAATAAGATGTTTAATAATGTTGTTAATCTCTACTTTTTGGACCCATTCCTCTTTGTTTTCTTGTGTGTTAGAGTTGTGACTTTATAGATAAAGTCAAGGAAGAGAAAAGGAATTTAATCCTCATATTGCAAAGAATTTCAACTATGTATCAAAGATCACTCGGAGAAGAAATACCAAGACATAATTACTATCAAACCTGACGTGTCCTGACACGCCTGTGATGTATGTTTTTCCGAGGCGCTGCGGGTATAGCGTGAGACGATGTGAGCCTGTCGCTGCATGTGTGTGTAGGTGTGTTTACTTCACAAAGGGCCGCCTGGTTGTCACCATGTCGTCGCTTTGTTTACACCAGTTTGAAAGATGAAAGAAATGCTATTCTGCTATAGACTATATATTGAACATAGCTGCCACTAACTGAGCTATAACTGAGCTTTTGGGTGCCAACAACAAAGTCAAAGCGCAGAGGGGACCGTGCTTTCTCTGCTGCCGCCCTGTGGAACGACCTGCCCTCGCTCATCAGACAGGCTCCCACACCGTCTGGTTTTAAATCCCGTCTTAAAACCCACCTCTTCTCCTTAGCATTCGGAAACAAGTAGATTGTTCGTATCTTTTATTTTAAATGTATTTATTTGATGTTTGTGAGCTGATCTCTCTGTACAGCACTTTGGTCTGAAGATTTTACAGTGCTATATAAATAAAGTTGGATTGGATAACCTCTTCATCAGGATGTGATTTCAGTGGCTGTGCATTAAACACTTTAAGGGCAGAATGAAGTACTGACCCAGTTTAAGCACTGGTCAATATAAAAGTAGGCCAATCCGGAGGTTTAAAGCAGTCAATGAGTGAACATTGATGCACACTGAATCCTACAGCCGTTTGTAGTTCATGTTACAGTGATGGTCTCTATCTCCTGCAGTATTCATGTGTTTTTATTTTACCTCTCCATCGCGGGTTTCGATGGTCTTGATGAGGACGGTTTTCTTTGAATGCAGCTCAGAGGAGCGCTGGTGCTCAGGGCTGGTCTCTGCAAACACACAGGAAGAGAATACATGACATTACATTACATGTTACTTGTTAGACGCTTTTATCCAAAGCGACTCACATACATTCAGTTCTGTGGGAAATCCCCACAGGAGCCCTTTGGGGTGAAGGGTCTCAGGGACAACGACATGCTGACTACAGTGGGGTTTGAACCTGCTATCCCCTGATTCGAAGTCCAGCCCACTACCCACTGAGCCCAAACCACGCCCTATAAACTTATACTAAAGTGTTTTAAAATCCCCTCTAAATATAATAAAGTATAATCTGGAAACCCAGCACACATAGACGTTTAAATCCACCACCGAACATGATATTTAGTTTACAATTATTCCTCTCTACTTCTCTTTCATTCAACATTTAAATGATGGTGGCTCATTGTGTGAAAACGGATCTGCATCGTACAGACTGTCCTCTAGTGGTGCGTTCAGGGGACAGCAGGTGTGTTCGTACCTCTGAAGCTCAGGGTGGAGTAACTCTGCACAGGCAAGGTGATCCTGCAAAGGCAGAAGAAACACATGTTTTAAAACTGGCATCCATTCAGTCATAGTTTTGATTTGTTTCGAACGTGTAAAACGATAATACAAAAAGTAATAATGAAATGAAACGAGAGTTATGATACTGTACAAACTTAAGCAGTATCAAATTGATTAAAAACAAATATTATTGACTTACTAATTAAGTAATAACTAATGATCTACCTACACATCCGAGAAGGGGTGGGAAGAAGCTTACACTTATTTAATCCCACCCCTTCTCACAAAAACTAAGTTATTAACATGTGTTTCTAATCTAAATGTAGGTCTACATACAATATACATTTACAATTATAAATAGATTATATCATTATATTAATGTTTAGTTTGTTGTCTGACGTATTTTGAAAAGAGAATATCAATAGTATCATATTCAGTCTTTAGCTCCTGCGCTCCTACTTCACCTGCTCTCCTCTCCTTCCAGCAGCTTCCTGTAGGTGGCGATCTCCACGTCCAGCGCCATCTTCACGTTGAGCAGATCCTGGTATTCTCGGAGGTGTCTCGCCATCTCGTCCTTCATGTTGGAGATCTCCGCCTCCAGCCGAGTGATGTTGTCCTGGAAGCCTCCTGCCTCGCGCCCGTGACGGTCCTCCATGTCCCGCATCTGCCTCATCAGGGACTCGTTCTGCATGTGTACGAGAACAAGTGTGTGAAACAGCGTGTGTGTGCATAGCCGCGGGAAGTAGGGGTGCTGGAGGTGATGAAGCACCCCCTGTTGGCGAATGGTGTACATTTGAAAAAATGAGCGACCACCTAAATAAAAATGATCAACTACATAAAATAGTTATGATTTGACTTAAAATAAAGTAAAATCATAACTATGATTATGTCTGTATCTATATGTCAGCGGGCTGGCTCGTATCGCTCGCTGGCGGCCGGCACCGCCTTTTGGCAGCACCCCCTAAGTAAAATGACTTCCCGCGGCTATGTGTGTGTGTCAAGTTATGAATTGTGTTGATTGGTCGACTCCTGCCTAAACTTGCAAATGGCCTGATTCACTCCAAAGGGACAACTCAATCTTCACTGCAGATGGAAATGAGCTATTAGCAAGGCCGGATTAACCATATGGGCACAACCTCATCATACATTGCTTTAAATGACACTCACTCTTCGCCATAAATAACACAGCTTTTCTCAAATTAATGTATTTCTAAACCGTCTCTGTACTGTAGGTCTCACTATGTATGCGCTCAACTTTATTACTACGCGGCGGCGGTGGTGTATAACCGAATCACAGCCCCACCCTTGAGCAACCACACAATTTCACTACATATTTTACTTTTGTAACTCTCAATGTGTGTGACTAATAGAACTCCTTGTGTACTTGTACAGCCAGCCAGTCATATGTTGGCAGTGAGGTGCTGCTCTGAGGTTTTGAGTGATATTACCTAGGTCTTCTTGAGCACTGTCTTGAGATCGTATCCATTGTATCGTTGTCTTGTGATGTTTGACTGAAAGGGCAAAAGGCTAGACCTACTTTGGGTGAACTATGTGACTGCGTCCCTGCTTTTGACAAATATGTGTGCGATTTGACATGCCAGATTGACTTACATTCTAAATATTGGTCATGTTGGTAGGCGTGGTGTACTTGTTGGTACGTGGGTTGGGGGGGGCATGAGTGCTCAGTGCCCAGGGGCCCCTGGAGGTACTAATCCGGCCTTGGCTATTTGCTAAAATCTGGCATAATGAATCGCTTCTCTTTTCTGAGATGAATGTATTTGTAGGCATGGTCCTTGTTGAAATGAATACATAATAATAACTCTTTTATTTGAGTTCATGTAGAGTTCATTTAGAGTTCATTTAGCTTCCATGTAGCATCACTTAGCATCATTTACTGTAGCTTTCATTTAGGTTGAACACCTTTTAAAGAAACACAAAAACACACTTTCATTAACTCTGCTCTCTGGATTTAAATTGAATTAAGTGACAATTAAAGTGTGTGTGTGTGTGTGTGTGTGTGTGTGTGTGTGTGTGTGTGTGTGTGTGTGTGTGTGTGTGTGTGTGTGTGTGTGTGTGTGTGTGTGTGTGTGTGTGTGTGTGTGTGTGTGTGTGTGTGTGTGTGTGTGTGACACGTACGGTGCCTTTGAGCGAGTCGATCTCGCAGGTGTAGGACTGGATCTGGTGTCTGAACTCCATGGTCTCCTGCCGGGCCGTCTTCAGCGCGTCGTTGTTTTTACTCACCGCCTGGTTCAGGTCGGTCACCTGGGGGGGCAAAGGTCACCGCAGATGTTTTTAGAAAAAAGATAGGCCCCTCTCGCAGTCAATTTCCTGCAACTGTGTCACATGAGGAGGTCAGGTCAATTAACTCCAATGGGAGAATTGATTGTCAACACACATTATGACCAATGATCTTGTCCTGGAGTCACCTAAGTAAATATTGGACCCACTTCTCACAAGCTGGCCTTCCACTGCTATGAAGAGCTATTAAAGGTCTCCTATCATGCTATTCTTTCACACACAGTGACGTCACGAGCTACCCACAATGCAACGCGTGCCATATATATATATAAATACGCCATTTTTCTGGAGGTGCAAAAATCCTGGAGGTGCAAATATAAACAGCTAGCTAACGTAGCCAGGCAGAGCGCACTAGGTTTTTTTTCTGAATTAACGACCGAAGAAATCGCTGCATGTCTTCGGATTACATCTCTGTACTTGAGGGGTGTGCTCTAGGTCGTTACCAGCGTAAACTAGAGCTGTGTGGGTTGTCGGATTGCCCTTACAGACTGCGTCGATTTTGGCTGCATCTACGTCTATCTTCTGGAAACACCAGGTGAATACCCCACTTGTCACAATAATATTATCATGCCATTGCATATATGTGGTATTTTAGAGTTGACTATATTGATTAAGGCAATAGACTATGATATTCTGGTTGCACCTCGTGTGAAATGGCGGATACCGGAAGTACGGTGTCGCCCTCTGCCCAAAACCCGTATGTGTGTGTGAAAGAATTTGGGTCTCAGATATATATAAAACACATGTCTAGGATGTGTTTTGCTCAAAATACCAAACAGATCATGCATTTTAGACATCTGAGTGTTAGCGACGCTTGCTAATGTAAACAAAGACCATATTACGTCAAACACGTCGTGCATTGTTTCCGACAGCAACGTTTCCGATAGGGCGAAGACGAGACGATGAGATTTTTCAAAATAAAAACTATGACGAAATGTATATTTTGTTTTCGTTGACGAGACGGGACTGAGGTGTTAATGGTGGACTATCGGACATTCGAAATGCAGGATATTTCCCCCAAATGTCCGTCTGTCAAAATGCATCCCTGTCATTGGGTTAGTTGGGATTCTGGGAATCTGCACATGTCACTCTATTACACAAGTAAAGTGTCAAGAGAGTGAAATGTTGCTTTACGAATGTCAACACTACTGTCACTTTGATTCCAATTTCAGATACTTGTATTTAACTGAATTAGTTTAAAGAGAGGAAACATTTTGACTAAAATGTGATGATTTTTCATCGACTAAAACTGGACTAAAACGTTTTGAGTTGTCGTAGACTAAAACTATGAAGGATAAAAATGACTAAAATGTGACTAAAACTAATAACCATTTTCTAAGACAAAGACTACATCTGAAATAGCTGCCAAAATGAACACTGTATAAAAGACATCGAAAAGCGCATTTCGCATGATAGGAGAGCTTTAGCACAAACCTTTTCTTCGCAGTCCGTGTTTCCAGTCTCTCACCTTTGACTTGTACCAGTCCTCGGCCTCGGAGATGTTCTTGGCGGCGATGCCCTCGTACTGAGCTCTGATGTCCCGCAGCGCTGCCGTCAGGTCCGGTTTGGACATGTCCATCTGGACCTGAACCTGAGTCTCCTGCATCTGCGTCTGGAGCTCTCTGATCTCCTGCAGGAGGAGGAAGAGGAGGAAGAGGAAGAGGTGGTCAGGTTAGAGTGGAAGCCGGTGAGTTGTTGTGGTGATAAACCTGCATTCTCTGTAATATCAGCACAGGTTGCAATTGTATAGAAGTCTATGAGAAATCTCCCTAATTCTCTCTTGATTTTTATTTCAGTAGACATTTTCCTGACGAGTTAATGGTCTCAATCTCTAGTTTCAAGTCTTCTTCAATGCAACATGCTCATTAAGTAAACTCTGCTCCTATTTCAAGTTAAATAGACGATTTAAAAAAAAAAAGGGTTTGCTTTAGGGCGGGACTTCAGTGTTGATTGGACATGTCAATCACAAGGTAGTTGTCCAGTTTGGAAGCTCTCCATTTCTGGTCTAGCATATTTCTTTCTATGTGTAATCCTAACTGTCCTTAAATGAGTCAAACAAGTTAATAATCTGTGCCTCAAAGTGACCAAATAAGCCATAATATTTCTACTTTTGCACAAAGAGCCAGAAAAAGACCTCTTCATGGATCCTCTTCAGGAAGGCGATCTCCTCCTGCAGCGTCTCGATGCGTCTCTCCAGATCCAGACGAGCCAGCGTGGCAGCGTCCACATCCTGCAACCGGTCGGTAAGTCAGGATTAAAAGTTAGTAAAGCAGTCATTCGGTGCGCGTTGATATCTTCTGCTGTAATTCAGAAGGAAGGCACTCACCGCCCTGAAAGCAGCCAGGTTGTTTTCTGCCTCCTCTCTTTGGATCATCTCCTCCTGGAGTCTGGAGGAATCAGATTGGAAACGTACTTTAAATATAGACGACGGTGTCTGAAAAACTGGAATGATCCTAAAGGTTACCCGACAAGTACTAAGATTGAATCCTCTGAACAGGTTTTATTCATTATTAAAATCCTTTAAAGGACGTTGCTGTGATTATTAACCGATGGATGACAGTCTGTATAAAACTGACACTCATTATGTAAACAACAGCGAGACAAAGGACAGATCATCAGA